GGAAAAATGTTAATTGTAAGAAAACTACTTGAGATGTAAGCATGTACTGGTGACCATTTTAAAGAGGAACTCATTGGCTACGATTTAAGGGCCTCCCGATCAATTAAAAATGTTTCGTTTGCTTCTGACAGCTGCTTTTTCAGAAACATGCAAAAGGGCGCATTTACCAACAACTGCTGTAAATTGCGCCAGGGGGATGGCGCAATTAGAATCCAATTGCGCCCTATCCTTTAACATGGCTAAGCAAAGGAGACGGAAAGCATACACTCCGGCATTCTATGTCATTGTGGCTTACTTGAACATGTATTATGTGAATCAAGCTCGATACATAATAAATGTAGATATAAATTGCGATGTTTTTTTTTTTGCGCAGGTAAATAACTTTACTTGTGTCCGGACTCCGGTATGCTTGTGAAGTGGAACGAAAACGTTTGATGTAACCGACTAGATATATGTATATATGAACGTATGCGGCTAGACGGTTATATTTTCAATCGTTTCTCTCAAAATTAATATTTTGTATTGCTTCTACAACTTTTTTGACATCATTTTTACTTTGTATCATAGCTGTCACCTCTCACGCCTGTGTCCATATTAAAAATGCCGTATTTTGTCAATTACACCGCAAGTTCATAGCCCAAATGGCAGCTACATTATAAGTTCGATGAGAGAAATAATTTTTGGACTGACGATGGCGGGTCGCTCCCCTGCCTGACATAAAACTCCTTCTTTATTGCAATCAGTTAATGATGCATTCATACTGTCGTGATACAATAGCTACACCATTATTCTATTTGCGCCCCCCTGGCGCAATTGCCATGGGCGCAATTAAAATTGAGTTACTTTTTAATAAAAGCGTAGAAGTTACGCTTAAGTTACTTTATTAAACTTTAAATTATTAAAACTTTATAAAGTTTTTAAGTAACTTTATTGAGTTACTTTATAAAGATGCTTAAGGATGTTTACTGTTTCAGTGAAATATAATGAAAAAAGGATTTTTCTTTCCGAATATCACTCTCAAAATCACACAAGTATCGCCTATTTTTATAGCCAACGGTTCAAAATGCTGCCAAAAGGTTAAGAAAACGCCGTAATATCTTCGATGGCGTAATGAGCCTTGCTGATTGGCTTCATCGGAGAGCTTGGGCCATAAAAGGAACTATCCAGTGGTGAAAATAATGTTTTCGAAAACAAAATGCTGAACATGCCATTGAATTCGTGGGAATGTGGGTGGGCGCAATTGGTTAGGAGGGCGCAATACACCCACTTTCCCCTACTTCATGGAGGTCACTTGGGCACATATGTATTTTGGTAAACTCAATCATGCACCATGAAATAAAATATATAATATTTTTCTGTTCGAATGAAATTTGAAGCTAAATTTTCACCTTGCGCGACAAAAATAAAACTTATTGAAGATGACACTCAATGAAAGCATCTTTTTAGGTATTGATTTAGGATCAACGGGGGTGGGTGGCCCGAACCTCCCGGTTAGGACGCCAGAATTTGCGTAGCATCTCAGCTCATAATCTTGCAAGAAAGCTTCAAATTGTCTAGCCAGCCTTAATTTACATGCTTTAAACTTAATGTTAGCATTGGTCTGACATCATAAAACGAGCCTGGTTCAAATTTATCACGAATTTTCTGTATGTACAGTATTTTACTCGAGGAGGGCAAAAACGCTTTATCACCGCTCATTGCCAAAAAAGACTGAGGAAAATTTTGAAAATCACGTGGGTTGTATAACGGAATGGCTGCTACCAGTATACGCGGTCAAATGTGTAAAAACACGCAACACTTCTTCAAAATTGCGATGGCCCATACCTCCAGGGGGCCCATACCTCCCGGGTCTCCCCTACTCGTGATGCCAGCGGCAGCGCTACCGCCAACACCCGTGCAATCCTCCGACGGCCGTCTGCCACCCAGCCGTGGTGGTCCAACTATTTCATTTACTTTACTTTGGCATCCGGTGGACAGGGAATGCATCACCTTTGTGCACACACGGTGGGTCGCGCACCCTCGTGGGTTGCGGTGTGCAATACACCGTCTTTATTGCAAGTTACGTTAATATTGCATTTACGTTACGTTAAGCGTTTAAACTCCGTGACTCATTCATTATCCCCGTCTTTCGTCCCTCGATTCGATGTCTCTCTCCGCTAAACACGATAAAGATTACTGCTCCGTTATTATTAACATAAAGCAAGAATAAGGCCAAAGAGTGAAACATGACTGCTCGGGTACGATATTGTACGCCTACGGGAAATTATGTCACATCCGATAAACGCGCAGATTAGCCTAACATACCCTAACACGCGCAATCTACATATTTACTTTACCTTGCTCCTAGCCTAGCTAGGGAGGCGGGGTGAGCACAAGGCCCCATCTTCCGGGTCAGCGGGACACCTACCTCGAGCGAAGCCAGCACACGAGAGCCCCGATCGGCCGGTGCTCACGCGCTATAACCCAGCTCGAGGCGGGAGTCGGAACGGTCAGCCCGCCCGAGGTGAAAGCCAGCCTCGCGTTCCGACGCGGCGCCCGTCGACCAGGAAAACCTATTCCTACAGGCGCGGGCTTTACATCTGCAGGCGCCATCCTAACAAAAACCTAATGGCATTGGGCCCCCTTTCAGATGCCCCTGGATCCGCCCTTGCCCCGAACTTTATTCCCCCTCTCGACTTTTCCTGTAAAAGTAACCCTGCATATGACGGGGGGTGCCACTAGTCGCTGCTTAGCGGCAAATGTCGGAACAGTCAAAGCTGGGCTAAAACTACCCCCGAGGAACTCGTCCTGGAGACGCCTCTGCGCAAGCTAGAAACTCAACAATTTGACACAATGTGCGCAATGAATGGCAAGGAAAAGTCTCCAAATTTCAAGCCCCTAGCTAGAGTGGTTTTCCGTCGAGAGCAAAAAAAAAAAATACAGGTGGGGGCCGATTCAACCCCCCCCCCCCCCCCACCAGTAGGTAATAGGGTTGAAAGCCATTTTTCTAATAGAAGCGATAATTTTATAGGATAATTTTAAAGAGGAAAAATATCTGCAATAGTTCCTTTCCATGCTACAATCAACAATTTTCCAATTGCAGCAACCAAAGAACAGATAGGTATATGGATTTATTTTTTGCACGAATGTGCCCCACTCTACCCTATCTGCAGTGACCTCAAATAGTAAAATATAGGTATGTTGTTATGGACAATCCCCCATCGATGATTTGTAATGACATGCAATTGCATTTTACTTGATTTCACAACACATTTCTTTAACCCTCGCCCGCACATGCCATTTTCCCATCCTAGAACGCACATGGGGGGGTGGTTGCCACCCCCCCCGCGCCATTTCGTTCCTGTTGGAGATAGAGCTTAGCAGTAAAGACCAAAAAGATTCTTTGGGAAGAGACGAATCCAATGATACCCAGTTTTACCTTCTCAGGTCAGTCATTGACCTTCCAGGTCAGGTCAAACTAAAAAATGTTGCTGTTTTGGGTCACCGTTGGATATCAAGTGCGCTGCTTATCAAATACCGATGACGATGCTGTTTTCTGGTGCCAAGCCAGCTAGAACCTCTTTGTCACACTATCCGACCAGAATTTTGCTGCTGAGGTCATTTCAGGTCAAGTTAGGTCAAGGTCAATTATATGTGTTTGTATGTCTGTGTGTGTCTGTGTGTATACTGATGTGTGCACCGATTGTTTTTGGTCCATATCACATGAAATCATGATCTGAGAAGCTTTTACCAAAAATGCAGTCAAAAAACTTCACAAAAAGTAAATTCAGCTTGCCTAAAACGCAATAATCTTAGATGACCTAGGTTGACCTTGACCCTGACCTTGACCCCTGTACATCGTCGGACAACATGTTCCATGATAGGTGGGAGGTAAGACTGGCAAAAAAGGCCGAAATCAGGGTGTCAAAAGCTCACAAGGCCCATGGCAAACGCAAGATGTTGAGAATTGGCCATTTGGGTCATGACATGACCTGAAAAACAAGGTCATATCTCCGAAACCAAAAATCACAGAAACTTGAAATTTTCAGTGGACATCAAGAAAGGATAGACGAGCAGCTATACGAAAAATCAGCCTTCTAGCTTTAAAAATGTTGAGTGCAGAGCAGAAAGACTGCCTGGGGGGGGGGGGGGGTGGCAACCACCCCCCCCCCCATGTGCGGGCGAGGGTTAAAGGCCTGTAACGGTGAAAATTTGACATTTGACCTGACCTGTGACGTCATCGGTTAGACCGAGGTCAATGAACTTGGGTCACAAGGTAGTTAGTTCCCCGTTGGGGCTATCCAACGCCGTTTGCCGCTCAGTCGCTATATTGCTTGTTTCTCGAGATCTTGGGGGGGGGGGGTAAGATGCCCCCCCCCATCAGACCGCGTTGCTCGGCAGATCCCATCAGGGGCCAGGGCGCGGGTTAAGTTGACCTCATCCGAACAAAAAGAAGGTACCTTGCCTACCTATACCTACCATTAGAAGCACCGGGGCTAGGCGAACCCTATGATGCCAAAATCGCGGCCCTGTGGCCACTGGCCATTTTGCGAAGTTATTCACAAAAAACAAGTCCGTGATTTAGGCCAGCTGACCTGACCTCAGAGGTCACCGGTTGACCTGAGACCTTAGAATTGGGTACCAATCGTTGCATCTCGTAACGGTGAACGCGCTTATTTTTCCGCGAGGCAGCGCAACTCAATCAGCGAAGGGGTTCAATTCCATCCACTCATCGTGATCGGTGCGCGGAGCTTCGTGGCGTCCGTCCGGATTTTCTGCAGTAACACATATTTTGACAAAGCACTGAGCGGATCGAGCGGATCGAGCGGATTAAAAATAAAGGGTGCAGTGTTAAAACATCAGTACATTTAAAACATCAATGAAAGGCGTGTAGGTATGAATATTTCACAAATCACATGCCGTGGATATATTTGCAGTGTTTTAATGAGAGAATGGCAGCTAAAAAGTTGCATTATTTTAGAGCGAATAAATGGCCTTGTTGTGATGACGTCACAACAGCTGTTTTCTTGGGTGACAAATGTTTTTAGGTCAAAGCGAAGGAGTTCTATTATATTTTGATTTGTTTGGATTATATCTGCACACAGGAAAGTAATTTGAAACATTGCAAGTAACCAAGCATTCATGCGATGGCTCACGGGTCCAAGCAGCCTACAAGTAGTGCCTTGAGAGCATTATCATTGGAGTATAAGAGCTTGCAAGAGGAGCCCGTGGAGGGATTTCGTGTAAAACTTGCTGATGATGATAATATGTTTTGTTGGGAAGTTGCATTATTTGGACCTCCACATACTCTTTATGAGGGTGGATATTTCAAGGTTAGTATCCTTATTTTAGAGCAACGGGCAGTGGGCACCCATAAAATTTGGCTGTTACGAGCCAAATACGTTTGTTTATGCATGAAGCAGATCAAGATTAGATCTATAAATGTAAAGAAATGATTATCCTGATGATTATAATCAAAGTGAGATTATAAAGGATTTGATGGTATAATTTACTTTTTCAAGATGATACCTAGCACGACCATACACAACCATAACATTACCAAATTAGATGTAAAAGAAATTTTATTGCTTGCCTGCTTTCAGGTTGAAATGGTTTCAAGAAATAGGGACTTGAGGCCAGTTTTATGAAACATTATTGCAGCCTCAGCCTTCTTTGTGCAACTAGGGTCCAGTCTTCAATTTCATTGGGGCTTCCTGTGGTATTGTGCAGTGCATTAGGTGTAGGTATGTTCTCTGAGTAAAGTGAGCATGCAAATTGTAAGTTTACAACTTACTGGAACTGAAGTTCAGTTCTTAAAGTTCCTATGACCCATTTCAGCTGAATAAGAATGATACATGAATTAATATTTAATGGTGCCTATACTTTTAATTATTGGATGGTATACCTACCATTAATTTATCAACCTGAGTAAAAGTATATAAGATGACTTTAAAGTCCCATGATACATGATTTATAGACAGTTATGTAGCCTTCTTGTTATATATAATGTTTGGTTTGTTAGTATAAGGTCTGTGGTTGATCTTTTGATGTCTTTCACCATTCTTGAAAGTAGAATGGTTAGCTCAGCTCTAGCAGCTGCATACAGGTCCACTGGAATCCTGAACAAATTCCATTTGCTAATTCACCAGGTGGACTCACCTGGGTATTACTGTAAATAATGATCAAATTATCATACAAAAGTAATGATCAACTAGCATGTGTCTTGTGCCTATTCAAGGATAGATGCCTCATGCCCTTACCAGTAGCTTACACTAATGGCTAATTCTAAGGAAAATCATCCAAATGCCAAGAAAACATTGCATTGCTATCTGGGTAGTTGATGGCATATACCATGCAATATTTTGATATGTCATGTGTATGTATGTGTATGTGTATATTTTGATATGTATATGCTCCAGGCTTCAGGGACTAAAAGTTATCCCAGTTCTGCACAATTAACCATTTTATGCCTGCAGTGGTTGATTAATTGGTTATGTATGAAATGACACATTTTTTCTTGTTTTTCAGGCTCACCTGAATTTTCCAAGTGACTACCCATATTCACCACCTACAGTGAAGTTCCTTGGGAAAGTGTGGCATCCAAATGTATATGAGGTGAGATTCACATACATTTGTCAACCACTCATTTCATCAAGAGCTTACAAAATGACTGAGGCATATTGTTCCAATATGGTACTCAAACAAGATCCCCCTGATGTTAAAGGGACCCTCCCACCTTAACATTAGATTTGAGTTGAGATAGCCAAATTGGGGTCCCTGGCTCACAATTACCGGTTTCGGCACTCACAACATCGAGAAATGCCTTAAAGGAAATAGTTCACTTTTAACATGGGATTTTGAACTGGAATAGCAGTTTCGTAGCTTGAGCGGAGACTAGCACAAATCAGGAGCTTTTACGGCTCAACGATCACCCTAGACGAAGATATTCCATTTCTCGTTCCGAAAAGAGTGCCTTGCAGAGGAATGTGTGCCTTGCACAGGAATGCAGCCACGTCATCGTCAGCCAATCAGCATGCTGCTTACAGCTAATGCAGCATGCGTAGGTTTGAACTACGCAATATGATTGGTCAACGCGTAATAAGCTTCCGCGTCAAACATTATTTTACATAGAATATAGTTCGTCCTATATTAAAATATAGAAAATAATTGTTTTTACAAAAAGGTTTTATTTTGTTTTCTGATCATTTTGAGCATAAACAATCGTAAATCCATAGCAAAATACTAATTTCAGGAAAGTGAACTATTTCCTTTAAATCAGAAATATTGAATTTCAAAATTGCAGCATTTTGATTCAGAGGGGCTAATGCTTAGGAATACCCCTCTGAATGTGTGACGTCAGCGCAGATATCTAACGATTTTTAAATGTTTGACTAAAACGTTTTGTAGCACGCGGTGGTATATGCTATTTGCGCGCAACATCTGCCGCAAACGCCGCTTTTCTAAAATAAAGTCGCTAGAAACAGCGGAGATCCCAAAAAGTAAACAAAAGTAAAAGTCTAATATCTTGAAAACCGGTGAATATTTTACGGTAAAATTTGGTAGATATTCGTTTTCGCTCTTTCTGAACCGAGCGACATCACTTTCATGCCAATTCATAAACTTTTTTGAAGGTGGGAGGGTCCCTTTAAGAATGCAACTTTAACCACTTGGTGGCTGACCTGACCTCTAGTCAACTCTGCCCTAGCGCTCGGCCGAGTCTCGCGTCGGTCACGGGTCCGCCGCCTGCCCTGTCCTCCGACTGGCAATGGACAGCGCGACTGGTCGGTCACTGGCCGCAGTGTTCGCACCAGGCCACCACCTGAGAGAGCAGACACGACACGTCATTTTCCCCGTCCCCCGAGACATCAGCGATCACTTCCACGACCGCCTCTGACTCCGGTTACCCCACATGCACGCGTACTTTATGAGCCTGAGAGCTCCAGTGAACTGGCTTCACCAGGATCAGGCGAATGGCGCAACTTTGTCATCACCTTTACCGTCGCCCGAGTCTCGGACATCGTCCAGCCCATATCTCCAGATATCTCCAGATCCAGACGAGATATCTCCAGCACATCGTCCCTATCGTCTGAAGCGTATCGTATCGTCCGTCTCATCATATCGTCCTTGTTGTCTGAAGCGTCTCCAGCGTTTCGTCCGGTCTGTCGTCGCCAGTCACGTTGTCCCCGACAGGGTGTTTTGTCCAGGGGCGTATAGGCGATCCTAGCGCCACCTGTTACAGTCGCCCATGCCTGCCTCAGGTCCGGCTGTGGCGTCCACGCGCTGAGCGTGATCCCGTGCTCTCTGACTTAGCCTCGTGCCTGTCCGGTGTCAATGGCCCGGATATGCAGATCGCCTGAAACAGATCTGGTTCCATCATTTCATTGCCACTATTTCCATTTTTGTTGGTAATGTTTCAGGTCAAATTGCTGTTTGCATCTTTGTTTATTTATTTGTCTTTGCCTGAAATTCAGCAATTTGTAAAAGTAGCCACCGTGCATTTCTGGTTGCCCTGTTGCAGAACGGCGATCTGTGTATCAGCATCTTGCACCCTCCTACGGACGATCCGCAGAGCGGGGAGCTGCCCTGCGAACGCTGGAACCCCACGCAAAACGTCAGGTGCGTCCACAGCAACGGCAGAGCATCAGTGGTTACTTCAAATGAAGGTTGATAGACTGGCGGGTTGTCATCTGTGTAATGTGTATCCCAAAGCATGCTTTCTTGTGGTTTTCGGACAACATGCCTCTGGTTGATACTGATAGTGTTATGACTTATTATGGATATTTTGCTTTGCTCCTGTTCTCTTTGTTATGCTTGGCTGACAGAGCGGTGTAACCGAAACCTACTTGAAATATACGATACGATATTTATATTCGTAGGTATAAGATACGATATAGACGATACAAAAGTCGAGTCTCCTAAACGACCAGAACTGCAAACTTTACGTGGATGGATTCAAAATATGTGTGTCCTAACCACCTTGCATGAAGCCGCTATCTCCTCAGCTATGTGCCCTAGTAGTCGCCCTCCCCTCCCCAGTCGTTAACTGTGTGAGACAGAGTGTCGCCTCGCTCGGCAGGACGATTCTGTTGTCTGTGATATCGCTGCTGAACGAACCCAACACGTCCAGTCCGGCCAATGTGGACGCCTCGGTCATGTACCGACGCTGGAAGGAGTCCAAGGGCAAGGACAAGGAGTACGAGAACATCATCAGGTGAGATATTGTCGGCGGCGGTTGTGTGAGCTGTGGCAGAGAGTACCATAGATGGGTTATTTCCACGACAAGGGCCGCAACAAGTAGCGGTGAATGGGTGGAGCTCTGCTCAATAACGCCCCAGCACTGCCTGAAGCTGTTTGTCATGTCGGAAATCAGCGACATTATATGATAAAACGTCAACGTCATCGCTGAAGGCTGGAGCAAGTTTAAAACATCGCATGTGGCCTCTGGCCCGTTTTAAGTTGCCTTTTGCCTCATTTTACCTCGCATAGTGCCCCAATTCGCTGCACCAAACACGAATCCTATCTCGAAATAAAAACACCCTCAGTTTGTTTTTCAATAGAAAAACACAATTCTAAAGAATAGTGTTTGTCTAATGAAGAAACAACCTTCGGGTATGCATTGAAAACTATTAGATTCGTATCGTGGAAACGCCAAATCATCATTGGTATTTTATGTGCTCTGGATGTAATGCGCCGTTGTGTAATGCGTCCCAATAATTCAAGCTCAAAGGCGGGCGATGAGAGGACTCGTGCTGACCGATGCTGAGGGCCTGGTCCGGGCCGTTTCGGTATTTGTAGTGGCGTCGGACTCGGCTTGTGACGATTGCCAATTGTCGTGCTACGGTCCGTGTTAATTTTCAAATATAACGAGTATCTTTGTGGCCAGCGTTTACTAACTGGGACGCGGTCTACGTCAGCCGCCTTCGGCCATTTTCAGCCCCAACACTCGTCTGTCGCTCCAGCAGTACAGATCCACGAGTGTACCAGAATAGCCCTCTCGGTGACCGCCCCCTCCCCCGCGCTCTCCGCAGAAAGCAGGTGTCTTCCTCCCGGGTCGACGCTGAGCGCGACAACGTCGTGGTGCCCCTCACACTGGAGGACTACTGCATCAAGACGCACGCGCGGCCCGACTCGGAGCCGGTCGACATCACAGACTTCTACGATGACGACTACCTGGACGACGACGACGACGCGTCGTCGGACGGCGGTATGGCCAGCCGGCGGGGCTCTCACAGCGGCCAGCGGCCGCCGGCCGAGCCGCGGCCCGCCCGGCCGGCCGCCGACGGCGCCGGGCCGTCCGCCGAGCCGCCAGAGACGCCCGAGCGGGCCGCCTCGGCGCCAGAGACCGTCCTGCGTCCGCCCCAGTCCTGGCCGCCCTCCTGAGTCGCCGCTCCGATCCTTCCCACTCCGTCCGAGGTAACAGCAGAGCGGCCCATCCTTCCACCGGCAGAGGCTCCCACCTGGCACCATATCGTAAAACCGCTGAAAGCAGCAGTTCATGTAGAATAAAATCATTGTTCATGTGAAAATGGGTTGGTCACGTGTCAGGTTATAAGATGACTTGTTGGAATATGTTCAACATCGTTAGGAAGTCGAATTCGCATTAGCATCATACTTCGTGGCACATTTTCAAATGATCTTTGAAAGGCGATACACGACACAAATACATCACATGCATAACACTTTGGTGTACTCCACACGAGAATGAGCTACCTACTGCCTGCATAAAGTTGCCATACTCAGTGGCACTGCTGATATTTAGTCGTTCAGGCTGCAAGATGGGGTGGACATGGGTCTCCCTCTGGGCCCTATCTTTGCAAATATTTTTCTCCGTTGTTCAGACTAGGATTGTGCTCTTGAATATGTAAGTATTCCAGTCACTGTTGGTCAATATCCGTCCAGTAACCGTAGGTCAGTATCCTTACATATTCATGAGCACAATCGTAGTCTGTACAGCAAGTTTCCTGCAGCGCCCCTGAATATTATAACTTTATGTAGGCAGTAGGTAGCTCAAACTTGTATGAAGTACACCAAAGCGTTACGCTTGTGATTTACCTGTGTCACGTATCACCTTTCAAGGAACATTTGAAAATGTGTCACCAACTATGATGTTAATGCGAATTCCACTTGCTTACGATGTAGGTGGAACGATGCGTTATATTCCACATTTCTTTTGATGGCCTGGATACATTCTGCTGGACACCTACATAGCTGTTTGAAATCAGTCAACTAGCATGTTTGGATTATGATATTTTACCTTTTTCAGACGACCTGGACAACGGGGACGACAGTGGCAACGGCGGCTCGTGATGACCGCCGGCGCCGCGCGCGCTCCTCCCTCGTCTTTCTGGCGGCCGCGGCGCGGCGCTGCGGGCGGCCGGCCCGCCAGGAGAGGCGCCTGTCGCCGCGCGGCCGGGCCGGGCGGCCAGCGGCGCCGGCCGAACAGCAATAACCGAGGAGCTGCGGCAGGCGGCTCGGCAGGCGGCGACTCCGCGTCCGATGGCTGGTGCGTGCTGCAGGGGCGAGCTTCCAGATCAGTGGCGCGTATTTTACAGACAGACTGTCTCTTCTGTGCCGAGAGGCCCAGCTGGTATTGCCATATAGATTTTGTAAGATCTGAGTTTGACGTAAATCGGGTATGTCAGCAACCGATCGCGGATTGATACGAATAGACGATAAGATGAGTTGATATGTGTTGATCAAATCGTGTTTTGTCGGCTCTCTTAGCTGATGGCAGCTTTGAGTTGTCAGCAGTGACGACACCGTTTTATTTTGAAGATGCTCGCGAAACTAGGTTACACACGTTGGCATTAGGTAGGTGCTTGCGTTGCTCTGACAGAGACTGTAGTGTCTCTACCACCTTAGTTTCTTTCAGTTTGTAAGGTCAGCTGCGGGTGCATGCGAACAAATTTGCCAGGTTTGTCCATTGTTTGTTGGGGAGTAACCAACATGCCGTGTGTATTGTCATTCATCATATTGTAATACACGATGAAAAGCTCAGCTATTTGTGATGTGCAGAAGGGTAAAAGGAAAATAGAAGCAAGGGATTTACAGAAAATGGTGCACAAATTCATTGCATTATGCGATAGGGAAGCAAGACCCTCTGACTGCTGAAAGTAAAAGAGAACAATACGAGCTGAATTCACGTCCTACTGCGGTGTTTTTAACACCCCATGCGGTTTTTCGAGAATGTCTAAAAAACGACGGCGATTCGCGTCACCGTTTTTGACACACCTTATCACATATCTTTTCTGCACTTGCTGTGAAAATTGCAGACCAAGGTCACTCAAGTTCAGGTTAGGTCACGTCAAGTGAGCTCACATGCAAGGTTTCAATGCCTGCCATAGCTGCACCATGTGACCGATCGCTCCTCAGCAGACTGCGTGGTAGGTATCTTTTTTTTTGGACAAAACCGATAACTACTCAAGTGCTATGTTATTAGTCGGTCGAATCTCACTGCAAATAGATTTGTCATGCTCCAATCCTTCAATTGGGTATATCACTAAACAAAGTATACGACTTGTGTGGCAATAAAATGCATAAGTTTGTTTTGGGGGCTAATATAAACTTTCAGGTTTGTTGCCAAATTGGATGGAAAATGAATACGATGATAATGCCAATCTAAGGTGCGGAGTCTCGCGCGTCTTGCTGTTACGATTTCCGAGTGACCGATAGCATAGTATTCACATTATTCTCGGTTTTGTCGAAAAAAAAAGAATGCCTACCTACCACGCAGTTTGCATAGTGCTGTACAAATTGCATATCTCCGAATTTTGATATGGGTGACATAAGGTCAAGCATAACGTCATAACGTCGTCATAACGTCAAGCCGCACGTCGCGTTTCGAACCCGGACATTTGCACCCGGGACGTGCGCTCTTACCACACGGAGTCCAACGCTCTACCAACTGATCTACCGGGACGGATGTTTGCCTTCGGCCTTCGGGTTTCGCCTCGTCACAGCCGTCAGACCCTTTGGTCGAACTTTAGCCGAAACACTGAGCAAGCTGCGCGGGGCGATACGTAGGGTGAAGTCGTATAAGAGTACGCACTTAGTGGATTTCTTGCTCTCGTTTGTTTAATATTTGAAAGAAAGAAATCGCAAATAGGGAATATTAAAGTTCATTGAATTAGCCATCAACCCATGGGGCAACGATCCTTCAGCGTAAATAGAAGTGGTCTAAAACTGACATTTTCTGAACCGCTGCAGTTGCGTACTCTTACCATATGGGGTGTGTAAGAGTACGCACGCCAGGCGGGTGGAGTACGCAAGCATATGAACACACGCCTATGCAGCTTGTACTGTCCAAATGCTTAACTTTAAACTCAGAAGGCATTTAAGTTAATTCTAGTATCCAAAAAGAAAAACATAAAATAAATCTTTCAAGTCTATAAATCAGGAAATAATCATGTTGTGTGTTTCTTAAAAAAAAAAAAAATGCACAATCAATAGGGAGAATAACTCGTATTTGGAAGAATTTCGGGTACCCATCTGCATCACAGTGCTCCATTGATGATATACCTACAAAACAAACGTCATTGAGCGATAGATTAATAATTTTATATTTCTGTATCTTCGATTTAATGTATGATTCTGCGTACTCTTACCCTCCTGAACAGTGCGTCCTCTTACCGTACATGCAATTCGCGCACAAAACAACCCCGAAACGTTGTGCAAAACTTCGCAAACAGAATATTGCACTGCACAGTATTTCCCCAGATAACCTCACAAGTTTCCCACAACGATCACGGAAATGCACCTTATCTCAACTGCCAAGTATCAAAATTATTGTACCATACCATAATAATATCATAACGCTCGAAAATAATATTCATCGCCATAAACTCAACAGCGTCGCCGCTCAACGCCCACGTTCCGTTGGTGACAAGCACGCACTGGCGGCTTCATGTCACTTCATGAACTCGACAAACCTGCGTTGCTAAGCAACCGAAACAGTTGATGCGTACTCTTATCGCCCGCGTACTCTTACCCGCCCTTACCCTATGTCCTCGTAGCAGCGTTAACCCGCGCCCGGCTGGGGGTCCTGGATTTCCACGCCCTGCTGGGGGGGGGGTGTTTAAACACCCCCCCCCCTTGTAACTCGGCTCCTGGGCCACGTAGCGATACGCGGAAGGCGGCGTTCGAAAGAGCGTCAAAAATAATGACGAAATCACTTCAGTCAATTTTTTGGTCAGGTCAAAGGTCAGGTCACCAGAGGTCATTGAAGGCAAAATTTCGCCGATTTCCAGGTCGAATGTCGAAAATTTCCAAGAAGCCATTGCATAACTCGGGAACCAATAGAGCTACAGCGCCGCGGAAAAGCGCATTCGATAGCCCTATTAACGCCCTTTCTGAGTAATTCTCTCAGATTTGACCTAACGTCAACAGTTTTGCCTGCAGGGGGCAAAAACTGCAAAAATAGCCGATTTTTTCGAAAACAGTTTTTCTGCAATAACTTTTGACCCAAGCCTTGTACGAGCTTACTTTTACCGGCATCGTGTTCCTCTCGTCAAGACGCATCGAATGAACTATAACCTGACCTTGAAAGGTCAACTTGAAAATTTGACCTCAGGTCAAGGTCATGACCTGACCGGAAAGGGTCATGTTGCATATCAGTCGATCCGTATCGTCGAGCTGAACACATCTAAGGTGTTTTCATCGCTCTAGCATGCCTCTATCAAAAGTTATTTGCGAAAAACTGTTAGATACCATTCGTGACCTAAGATGACCTCAGGGCATAAACAAGGGTCACGGACACCATTTTCATGTTCAGTGTGTCTAAACCACTTGTAATTCGGTGTTTGGGAGTGTTTATAATGTCTTGCATCCAAAAGAGGCGCATTTCAATTTTCTCCCATTGACTTATAATGGCGAGGTCGCAAAATTGACCTGACCTTAGGTCATCAATATCAAAATTCTGAGATATACATTTTGTACATGCTATTGCCCTTAGCAATCGCTGAAAGTTTCAAAGCGATCGGTCACTCGGTGTAGCTATGACAGACATTGAAAGTTTTTATGAGGTGAGGTCACTTCAAGTGACCTGGTGACCTGACCTTGAATGACCTTGGTCTGAAATTTTCACAACATGTGTAGAATTGATGCATGATAAGGTGTACCAAAAACGGCGGCGCTCCGCGCCGCCGTTTTTTGAGATATTCGCGAAAAACCACAAGGGGGGGGGGGTGTTCAAACACCCCCCCAGCAGGGCGCGGGTTAACCCGCGCCCCGCTGGGCTATTCAGCCATACGCGCCCTGCTGGGGGGGGGGGGGGGCAGATTCTGCCCCCCCCGTCTAACTTCCGAACCGATGGTCGTAGAAAGACGGGGAAAATGGCAATCGAAAGCTCTCAAAAAGGCGGATATTGAGCCCAAATTTTTTACTTAAGTGGGTCAGAGGTCAGGTCAAGGTCAGGTCAAGGGTACAAAATGCAGGTTTCTACAGTATCGGCCTTGCACCGTAGGTAGTTGCCGAAGAATGGACTGAGACTGATTGCCCAAAACGTGTTCTTAGACTACCAATACAATATTCGTTGCATACAATGTCATTCAAAGGTCAAGGTCAAGGTCAGGTCAGGACAGGACAGGTCAGGGCACCAAAAACAAAATATAGAAAAGGGCATGTTCGACACATGTTTTATGGGTTATTTCACTCATAGAATTCAATGGGCACACTCAATAAGTGATATGGACCACATCTGGATGAATTTCAGGTCGAGGTCAGGTCAAGGTCAGGTCAAGTGAGGTCAAATTTTGAAGTTGGTTGTTAAGGCCTAAAAAATGTCTATCTGATGCAGTTTTCACGGCAAATCGAATGGTGCTATTTTTGTTTCCGTACGAGGTCTAGAACGTAAAAAAATCATTTTTCAAAATTTTTGTGTGTCGTGACGTCAGAAAATTTTGAATAACTCCCACATTTTTGAACCGATTTTTCTAGAAATTAGTATGTAGGTGCACATAGACCACTTCTCTGACATATATTCCGGTTTTTTCGATACACTCAAAATTTTGGATTTTATAATTACTTTCCCAAAGAAGTCAGTTTTTTTGAAAAATTTGGGCCAAAATACAAAATTTTCACAAAACCTAGATAGCCATTTGATAGACAAAGTAGAATCCCGTATAACCTTTTTTGTTACGTCTTGATTCCCTTATTCCGCGCCCCACTGGGGGGGGGGGGCTATTTATAGCCCCCTCCGGTTTTTCTGCAATAACTTCCAAACCGCTTGACGCATCGACGCCAAACTTTCAGTACCTTCGGCTGCATCAATTTGACACCTTGTGTCAAAATTTAAACTTCGTAGTTACCATAGATCGGCCGGAAATGACGTCAGAGTAACGTCCTGCTCGGCCGACTTCGACGCAAAACATTGAACCACGGCAAACGCTCCCAAGGGCTCAGTTTTTAAGCTAGATCCAATTTCTTTAAATGAGGTGACTCAGAATAGACTGCGCTATCAAACTGCTATCTCGGATTTTAGAAATTTTGAAAACTTTGAAAATTTTATGTTATAAAATTCAAAATTTACATTTTTACATTTTTTTTCAAAAAGTTTTTGACTTTTCGAAAAAAAACGGAATATATGTGATAGAACGCGTTATTATGACTAACTCTAGCAAGTTTTAGCTAAATATCTTCAAAAATGGCCAAGTTATACGCATTATTGCAAAAAATTCACAATTATTAATTTTTCAAAACATTTTTCACCACGTAGGGGAGATCCGTGTAAGACGCCCAGGGTCGGTAAGAGGCCCCATCGCTTTTTTTACCAAACCAATAATGTTATTTATTTTTTAATGTTCTTGTAAAGCAGAAGCCCTCTTGAAACAACAACTCACGAAACCTGAGGTATCAGGTGCGTCGCAGCGACTTTTGGTAAGCCTGTTTCTGTTTTTGCCCCTTTACTTGCTAGATATATGCATCTTTATCACCCTTATATATCTGAAAAAAACAATGGCTATCAAATGCAATCTTTTCTCATCGAAATTGTCACATGTTAG